GTTATTCTAATTTGTTTTGTAGTCAGTACAGAGAAAGCTTGCAGTTCACTATAGAGTTTCCATTGTTAAGGGAGAAGTTAATGAGTGAACAAGGGATTGATTTTGAGCCTGTGAAAGACTGACACCTCTCTCAACCTCCTGTTACTGTTATTCGGGTGAGAGAAGTTACACCTTTATAACTCTTATTGGTTTAAGGCTCTGCAACACTTTATTAGTCCACCTAGATAGAGTTTGTAGAGTATTTGTAAGAACTGTTTCACTTTGTTTGTAGATGTTTAACAGAACACCTATAGAACTAAACCTAACCACACCTTAAGTGGTGTTGTAATATCGTGTAAAATATTGTTGAATCTTAACTAATAAGCCAATAAAATGTTGCAAATGGTCTGTAAACTATCTTTAGGTGGACTGTCTAAATGAAGTCTCATCCATGTGTGTACAGACTCTTTAAAAGGTTGCAGTGTTGGAAAGGTGATGATGTGTTAAAGCAAAACATACAGCTGTGTTCAACCTTCACAGGTGGTTTTATTTCTTGCATATTTTTTGTGTGAAACAACAGTTTAATGTGATCGATGATTTGTGAAATAAAATCGCAGCGCTTGAAACTCTAGTTCTCATAAAAAAACACGTACAGTACAACAGTAAACGCTCTGTGAATATTGGTCCAGTAAGCTTGTTAGAGCACCAGTGTGTCACGTTGGTCTTACAGGACACACAGTACAAGCTAAAGGCTCTTTGTGTTACCTGAGATTTAGTGAGGGTTTCTCTTTGTTCATAGCAAAAACAACGAGTGTGTTCATGAGATGTAGCTTACAAAAATGGTTTCAGTCATTCATAATCAATGCACAAGCTTAAATCACTGATAGGAGAGTGAACAGGAACATCGCAGTAGCTGAGCAGAGTTATTTCAGGACTAGAGATGTTTTTTCATTCTTAAAACTGTGACTTTAGCCAGCTTTACAATCCAAGAGGGAGCCTGTGTGTCGGTGTGTGAGAGGACCTGGCTGAACCCCAGCTTCTTGTACAGAGCCACAGCGGCGGTCTGAGTGGAGCTGGTCTCCAGCACCACCTCGGAGAAGTCTCGTTCCTTACAGAAGTCGACCACAGTCTGAGCCATCCTGACGCCGAGGCCCATCCGTCTGCACGATGGTGAGATGATCATCCTGAACAGTTCCCCGTAGCTTTTGTCCCCACTTTGTTTGGCCACTACAGCCACCATACCCATGACCTCGGCCCTCCCGTCAACCTCGGCCTCAGCCACCCAGAAACAGTCATCCGGTCTGCTCAGATAGTTCCCGGGGATGTCCTGCATGTCCGTCTGGAGTTTCTCCCTGACGTAGCTGGAGTACAGCTCATGACAGCAGTAGTAGACGAGGCCCACCCAGACTCCCGGGAACACCACGGCCCCCAGCGCGGAGCAGACGAGGTAGCCAGAAGCGCACAGAGCCAGAGTGACGGCGAGGTAGAGAGGGCTGCTCATGGCGTTGTGAAAACATGGTCGGATGTGCTCCTTGATGCCGGTGCTGAACAAGAAACGCACCGTGTCCTTATCCGAGGGACGGTACTGGCGGATCACCAGCTGCATGACCGGAAGGAACTAGAGGAAAATAAAATACTGGATTCACATGTGAAGCTGAATACTAAATAAACTCTCTAAAGATGATTCTCATTATAGATTTATCTGCTGGTTATCTCGGTTAATTGTTTTGTGAAGTCAGGAAAACTGGAGAGCTTGAGGCTGCGTCTTAAAATTCGATATTCTGTTCACTACCAAACATGACAAAGGTCTTGAGAACCTCGAACCCGTGGACATTTGGCATTTGTGCTTGAAATATTGTCGACTGTCGACGGACTAGTTTATTTATCGTCTAATTGTTCAGTGTCTTAAACTTCTTATGTGAGATTCAGCGTACTTTTAAAGCTGTGATTTGTGTAATCGCTGTTTAAGATGGACGTTGACGGGGCTGTATAAAATTACATAACGGTGGAGTAAAACTCAAATACCCTTAATGAGTAAGCAGCTTGAGATAAGTGCATTAATGTAGTAGATGTTTAAGAAAGGACATGGTTTAGTGTAAGATTGTTCATATTTACTCTAGTAAAATCTACTTCTACTCTATATTATATTTATATAATATATTTATTTATCTATATTTGATAACTAGTTACTGTTTTTTTTTACAGACTCAGATTAATACAAAATATAGGCTAACAAAACTAATATAACAACAATAAACTAATTAAAAAATGATGTGTTATTATAGATTCAGCTACCTGGCAGTAATGTAGTTAAAATTAGCTCCTCCTTTACCAGCTACAACATTAGTTCTGTTTAATGCATCAATCATTATAATCCAATAATATAAGATTTATTACTCTGAAAGGGGCCAATCTGCATAATGAGAACTTTAACTTGCTGCCAGATATGGTTAAAACATCACATAGCGATTATTTGGACAGATATTGTGATATGACTCACGATTCGTGTGGGAATTATCATTTTTGTATCACAAATGTAATTTTCACTGAAAAAAAAACAAAACTATTAAAGTCCTGATGATTAATGTAATTTAGGTCTGTACCAAACAAATATGTTTTCTTAAATCTGGAGAACATCTCTTCAGCACCACAGTAATTCATTATGATGATGTTTTGTCTTCTGTGATTTGCATATTGTAATTTACCATATTTGATAATATTTTTGATTTTGTGTGGCCCTATTTTGACGCTAATACTTTTGTTCTTGAATATTTTGCTTTCAGGACTTCCACTTGTAAGTGTTTTTATACTTTACTGTGTGCTAGAGACCACATAGACCCACTTACTGATAAATAAAACTACAGACAGCTAACGTTAGTTATTGTTATGAATGTAGCCACACTAGTTAACTGTATATAACTGATATCTGTATAATTATAATATATACATATAACATATTATGTGCTAGCCTGAACTGTAGCCTGATCCGCTACCATGGTAACAGTAGTAACGTCACCACACGATAAATAAATACTACGGAACATCATGATTACATCACACGTCATTCGATCGAACGTTACCCGTTGAACCGTTAGTTTCAGTTTGTACCGTTGAATTAACGTTAAAGTACCTCAACGTCAGGATAACTTAACTTTAGTAACAGGCCTGTGAACTTTGTTAGCTTTTGTATTCGTACCAAAATCCCTTTTTTTTTTTTTAACGTTGAACTGATTTAATTCGACGCAAAACACGCAAATACACCGTGTTTAGTCGTTTCCTAGCTAGTTAACGTTACATTAAGATATCATTGGAAAACGACGCTTTCTTACGTTACTGACACAACCTGTGAAAGTGGGGCTTTGTCCGGAGGAGCAGCACCGTCCAACTGACGGCTCACATGAACTAACGTTACGAACCACCAGAGGAAACACCGTAAACCGGTTTAAACGTTAACTCCGCCGGGGGAAAACATTCACATAATCCCGGCGTTGACTGACAAAGAGGCGATAGCTCTATTTCTCTAAGACACCGTTTGGTTTTTATGTCGGGGGGTCGAAGTACAAGCGATAACAGTACACGTTAAAAGATAACACAGAGTCTGTGCAGCAGTGTTATTAATTGTTGGGGACACAATGCAAACCACTGTACAGTCGGCCATTACCCAACATGTTACACTGTGAGGGGTCTTTTCTAAATTAATCACTAAGCTAAATTTAAGCTTTTCCACAAACCGTTCTCCACAAATCCCAATGATACCGGATGCAGTATGGTGTCACCATCCATCCACTAACAAAGCCCTCTGAATGAGAGGCCACTAATGTTATCTTAACAGCAGTCAACACTATCAGACTGCAAACTAACACACAGATTTTAATGTTTAAACTGTTCAAACTTCAGTTTTAAATGTGTGCACACAGTGGCGTCAACAGGTGGGGGGCATGAGGGGTAATTAATGGTAATTAACCAGTAATTAATCAAGTACCTCCAATCCCTGCTTACTAAGACTGGTTTAACTTCAACCAAACTTCTTGCAGAAACTATTTATCTTTCATCTTTAAGTTTGCACATGTACAGTTTAGTTTAGTTTTTCAAAAAGTGTATATATTTTTCATTTATAGTGTTATGTTTTATATTATATTTTCTAATATTCTTATTTTGTGATTCTTATTGTACACTTCTGTACTCTTTGCACTACATTACCCAATGCTGCTGTGTCTAACTTGAATTTCTCTTACAGGGGATCAATAAAGGTATTATCTTAATTAAAAACAGTTTTTCTTTCACCCTTTGTGTCTGTTTTAAGAAGGAATGATACCAATTTAAATAAAATGCATCCACTCAGCCAGGTTCCCGATAGTGATGTTGTTTGTGTCCTTTTAATGAACGATAGAAGTAAAATAAATGAAGACACGACAGAACAATAGCAGTGACCTTATAATATATTAGTAAACATAGTTAATATACATAAAATCTTCAACACGTATGTGAAATAGCGTTTGATGTTTTTACATTATTCAAGGTTTTAATACCAAGTATAATGTCAACATTATGGCATTTTGGAAATTATAAGGTTTAACATATATTACATATTAATTTTAGTGATATACAGTCATGAAAAAAATTATTAGACCACCCTAATTCTTGTTCATTTTAATGCCTGGTACCACTAAAGGTATATTACCTGAAGAATGAAATGAAACACGACAAAAAATGCAGCTGATTTCATAATACTTTATGTCCTATTTGACAATGCTTTAGGCTTAATTGTAATCCCCAGCGTATATAAGAGGCCATTTCATGTCATAAGCAGCACGCACATGCAAAGGCCTACAGTGGTTTCCTGCTTACATTTTTCTCTTGGTACAGTGTTTTATATTATATTAATTATATTATTTTTCATACTGTTCTTAACTGTCTTGATACTGTTTGTTTTTTTTCTCTATCCACTTTGCTGCTGTAAAGATTGGAATTTTCGCCCCATGGTGGACTTGTGGGACTATTAAAGGAATATCGTATCTTATCTATCTTATCTTGACAGACAAACATCATCTTAGTGGAGTAACACACAGAGTTTTACCATATCTGGTACCACCGGCAGAGGGGGGTGGGTAGATGTGGCACAAATCTAATTGGTCAGTGATATCAATAAAACGACACAGAGAGAGGCACAGAGTCATCAGAGCCACGATGAAGATTTTGTGTGTTGCTGTTGTTGTGCTGAGTCTCACCTCAGTGTGCCAGCCTGCGTCGCTGGCCTGTGAGAGACTGCTGAAGACAGAAACCAGAAATCCAGATGTAAGTTAAGTTTCTTTACACTAACTTTTACTTTTTTTCCTGATATGAGTTACGGGAAAGAAAATATTTACAAAAAATGTTGTATATTATTGAAGAATTTAACAATATTTCTGTCTTTTATTTCAGCTGACTGGGAGATGGCGCTACGTAGCCTTGTCCAGTGAAATGTGTCCTATTAGAACATTAATGGAGTCTGTTTTTCGGCCAGCTATAGAAATTAACATTACCTCTGAAGTCACACCGAACGTTTACAGTGTCGGAGTTAAGATTCAAATGTAAGCAGTATTTTTGATTTTTTTTTTTTTTTACTTATAATGGTGACATGAATCTTGAAGTGTCCTGTGGTATATAATCTGTTTTTTTTAAATTATTGATAGACCTGGGATGTGCGTCAACAAATTAAATTTTTCAACATTTATTTATGAGAACAATGCTGTGAGGGGTGCTACCAGTAAGTAAGAGTTTTGTTTAATACACATTGTGCTCTGGTGTTTCGCTCTTTGTCTCAGCTCCTTCTAATCTCTATTAAACTTTAAAGATGAGATAATCCCTTATTTATCCCCCAGAGAGGGGGAATTCAGTGTTACAGTAAGCAGCACGAGGCAGAACACAGTGAGATAGATGAATCAATTAAATAAATACAGTAAATTTAAACAAGACTGATTAACCTAACATTAACATTACAGGCAATAGCAGCACATATACACACCATATATGCACACATATTATACGGTGTATTCTTCAGTGTAAAAATATGAATGAGTGCCAATGTAATTATGTTAACAATGATAATTAGTATTTTTTTTAATAACATTTTGATACAAATGTAGAGTTAATGTGATTATGATATTATGTTCTTAATGTAAACCATTTATTGTATCATTGCTTCCAACAGATGCCCCCCCTGTTATACTGCTACAAAGTGGGTGTCCTGACTGCATCGTTTTACAGAACGATGCCATCCATTCCCTTATTATTCTAAGTAAGGAGATCGCAGAAATGATAAGATAATTATATTAATATGTAGTAATATATAGTAATTGTGCTCACCAGGTCTCAGAGTGACTTATCCCCTTTTTCATGGCTTCAAACCATTCACAGTTCATGATTTCTATTTAGAGGAAATTATAAAACTACAATCTATAATCGAGACATTTGTACAGTTAACTACCTAATGAAGTGGAAATCCCTAACTAATGAATAAGGGTATGTTAACTTGAATTAAAATTTCAAGATACACTGTATGAATATAGATATTATACATTGTTTAGCTGTCCACATATGTAAACAATAGTGTGTGACATTGCAGCGGTGATAATATAGCATCTGAAATGTGTCCTCTCGTCACCAGGTAGGAGACAGACGGTCACTGCTGCTGAGATGAAGGAGTTTGAGACACAGGCAAAGTGTTTGGGTTTGCCCGAACCGCAGCTCTTCATGTCAGATCACGGTGAGACTGTCCGATTTTGAAGACTTGAAAGATTATACTATATACTTTGTCAATAAGAATGTAGAGTCTCGTATCAGAGAGTCAACAGTGGGATGTTGCCCATACTTTTATTGGAAAAATGTTTATATACATTAAGATATCTTTAATGTAGAGGTATTAAAAGAGACTGTTGTTAGTGGTGCTGTACCACAAAAGTGGTATCTACCATTTTCCTCTCTGCATATTACTGTGTTGTAACATAATAACTTACAATAGTATGTGGTATAATAAAACATTTACATACATTAAACGTACATTTGCCATGTACATAAAAGAATGTAGCATAAACCGCTGCCTTTCTGTTCTCTCTACAGTCTATGAAAACTGCCCCACCACTGAAGACATTGTACAGCACCTTGAAACATTTTCCAGTGGTACAGAGAAAGCTCGGTCCCTAAATGAGAAAATTAGGAATTGTAATCAGCAAATGTAGCTCACCTGGTTGAGCGTGTACCATGTATCATGGCTGAGTCCTTAACTTCAGCGGCCAGAACGAAATCCAGAACGAGCCCTTTGCTCCATGTCATCCCCCTGCCTTTCCTTTGTTCTCTACTGTCCTATCAAATAAACCCCAATAAATAATCAAATTGTAATACACAAGTAAATGTCCATCACATGTTTCTTCTGTGCATGCAAATGTGTCTACAGGTGTGTCTGAATACTTCCTTACAATGTATCATCAAACAGGACAAAGAGTCTACAGCCGGCTCTGTGAGGCTGCAGCAGTGCCGGCCCGTGGCATGGGCAGTATAGGCAAATGCCCCACAATGGGGGAAGAAAAACAAAAACAAAAGGTGCAACTTTCAATATTCAAGCCCACATTAATTTAACTGCATAGCAAAGCCTATTAAATAATAATAAGACTTTATTAAGCCCCCCCTCTACCTGCTCTCTGAGAGAACCATCAAAACGACCAAAACTTTCCGGGTGCCATGCGAAGAAAAAAAAAAGAAATAGAGGAGGAAAAACGCGAACAAAGACAGGAGGGTAGGGAGTAAGGAAATGTCATGAATGATTTCGTTGTTGCAAAGAACGATAGTGTATATTTAGACCGTACACGGTTTGTTAATCAATAAATTAGCGTTGGCTCATTTTAACGTCAGTTATGTTTATGGAGGGGCTATCATATATGATAATTACTCCCCCTTATATTTCTCAGGACTTTGTCAAGATAAGAATTGCTGATTCAGCAGGGTGTTTTACTTTTGTGTACATTTTTATTTTAATGTTTTATGGTTAGATTAACGGTTTGCTCTGCTTGCTAAACTTCAGTCAAATGCTATTCTTTCACACACCTTTTAATGTATTAGAGTTTGGAAGACTTGTTGTTTTGTTGTGTTAAGTTCGTATTGTCTAAAGTGTGGTTTATGATTGTTAACTTTACATCCATGTTAAGTGCACATGGTCATTAATTTTAATAATCTCCATTGTCTTATTATACTGCAGTTTACTGTTTCTAATCAGCATTTCACGGTGTAAATGGACACTTATATTAAATCTAACTAATTGCATATCAGAAGAAATCCTCATTTCCATGTAACAGTACAGTGAAAGTAATGCATCTCTTAGGTTTTCATTTGTATTTATCAAATTTTTGTATTCTTGGAATCATTTCTTGTTATTATTGAGCTGTAACACCCAGACAATCCTCCTGT